GGGGCGCATCGGGGAACTCCGCGCCTTAATGTTTCCTGCAGAGGGGAGACTCGTCCAAGACTGAGAAACTTGGTTGGGTTCTTCCAGCCCGGAGACGAGCGGAGCTGAGGCTGCTCCTCACGTTGGGGTCCGAGCTCCCTCTGGCGGCTTCTCCGCGGGACGGGAAGGGAGGCGACAGGTGAGAGGCTGCAGCGCCGCGGGCTGCAGCTTCTCCTCCTGGACACACACCGGTCCTGCTTCTCCTCGGAGAAAAGTGGTCCTGGTAGTTCTCCAGATGACTCCTGGTCCCATGAAAACGAAATCCGCAACCAGAATTTTTTTTTTTTTTTTTTTTTTTTTAACAAACCATCCTTTCTACTTTTCATTTTTTGGTCTGTGGGTCCTTAAGAAGGAGAAATGACCAAAAAACGGTAGCAGGACTCATCTTTGTGTAAGCTATGTTGAAGGAAAACGTGTTTGACTGACTGAAGCCAGCCACCGTTAAACTATAAATATTGTGGGGGGAGTTGTATCTTGTGGTGGCTGGTCGTCTGCCAACAGTCATGGGGGCCTAAATCCTGGCTTTTAAAAGTATAAGGAAAAAAATGACTTGAACTTACTTAGATTGTATCTAATACCTGGTTTTATTGCGATTTTAGAATTTCTGTCAAGTGATTGCAGAATGTTTAAATCATGAGTTTTATGTTCCCTCCCTGCATGCCTATAGCCTCAGAGAATTTCTTTTTTTGTTTTGTTTTTTCCCCCAGAAAGGAGTGTCATGCAAAAGGAGCAGAAAAGAGACCTCACGGTTGGCGAAAGGGGAGTTTTCTTTCCCAGCTGGTGATTACTTCATGATTGGAAAAGAAGTACCTAGGTGGCTGAAGAGATTAAGTTTTATGGGTGAACAGATGAAGCTGTTCAAAGAAGACAAGAAAATGCTTTCTCTGTGTCATAATAGGCTGATGACTAAGTGAGCCTGAGAAAGATAGATTTGAAATGTGGGCAGGAATTTTGATTTTTTTTAAAAACAAAGTAAGACTTTGAACACTTGTTGAGGATGTTTTTCTCTTAAAAGTGGAAGAAGAAAAGAATCACAAAACAAAAATAATAAAAGTTGAGAAGAATAACTAAGTCCACTAACTCCAAGAATATCAGTACTTTATCATCTTATTTGGGAAAACTCAAGTGCATCATACGTATGTGGTGAGTTTATCACCAGTGATGGTTTTCTATGCTAGCAATGACTCTTAATTTGAATTTTTGGAGTGCTTTTTCTCTTTTCTACAATGTGTGTTTCAACCCTTCTTGTTAAATAGATTTATGTAAAGGAACTAAATGCTGAACTCATAGTATTTTTTAACTATGCCACTGTTTCTTGTGTATTATGGAAAAATTAGAGATTTTAATATTATTTGAAATTATATTGGAAGCAAAACTGTGCCAGGAACATAGATACACAATGTAAATTTTCTCTTTTGGGCAACTGTACAGCTTAGAATGAGCCGAATTTCAGCTGAATTTTACAGCATATAAGATTTACAATTTTTGTTTTGACAAGGTCTTTAATATATGTTTTATACTAACCAGATGGGAAACACATTGAGCACCATGTTTGACATGTATGCCTAAGGAAGGAACTCCCCCATGGATCATGGCGTTAATGTTTACAGGACATTTCCTATTCTTAGCATTATTGATGTTTGGTTTCTCTACTTTTGAGGAATCTGTCAGCAATTACTCTGAATGGGCAGTTTTTACAGATGATATAGATCAGTTTAAAACACAGAAAGTGCAAGATTTTAGACCCAACCAAAAGCCGAAGAAAAGTATGCTTCATCCAGGTTTATATTTTGATGCCGGAGATATCCTAGCATTGAGACAAAAGTCTCGCACAAGCCATTTGCATCTTTTTAGAGCTATCAGAAGTGCAGTGACAGTTATGCTGTCCAACCCGACATACTACCTACCTCCACCCAAGCATGCTGATTTTGCTGCCAAGTGGAATGAAATTTATGGTAACAATCTGCCTCCTTTAGCGTTGTACTGTTTGTTATGCCCAGAAGATAAAGTTGCCTTTGAATTTGTCTTGGAATATATGGACAGAATGGTTGGATACAAAGACTGGCTAGTTGAGAATGCACCAGGGGATGAGGTTCCAGTTGGCCATTCCTTAACAGGTTTTGCCACTGCCTTTGACTTTTTATATAACTTATTAGATAATCATCGAAGACAAAAATACCTGGAAAAAATATGGGTTATTACTGAGGAAATGTATGAGTACTCCAAGGTACGCTCATGGGGCAAACAACTTCTCCATAACCACCAAGCTACTAATATGATAGCATTACTCACAGGGGCCTTGGTGTCCGGGGTAGATAAAGGATCTAAAGCAAATATATGGAAACAGGTTGTAGTAGATGTGATGGAAAAGACGATGTTTCTATTGAATCATATCGTTGATGGTTCTTTGGATGAAGGTGTGGCCTATGGAAGCTACACAGCTAAATCTATTACTCAGTATGTTTTTCTGGCCCAGCGCCATTTTAATATCAACAACTTGCAGAATAACTGGTTAAAAATGCACTTCTGGTTCTATTATGCCACCCTTTTACCAGGCTTCCAAAGAACTGTGGGTATAGCAGATTCCAATTATAATTGGTTTTATGGGCCAGAGAGCCAGCTGGTTTTCTTGGATAAGTTCATCTTAAAGAATGGAGCTGGAAACTGGCTAGCTCAGCAAATTAGAAAGCACCGACCTAAAGATGGACCAATGGTTCCTTCAACTGCCCAGAGGTGGAGCACCCTTCACACAGAATACATCTGGTATGATCCCCAGCTTACTCCCCAGCCTCCTGCTGAATATGGTACTGCAAAAATGCACACATTCCCTAACTGGGGTGTTGTCACTTATGGGGCTGGGTTGCCAAACACACAAACCAACACTTTTTTGTCTTTTAAATCTGGGAAGCTGGGAGGACGAGCTGTATATGACATAGTTCACTTTCAGCCATACTCCTGGATTGATGGGTGGAGAAGCTTTAACCCAGGGCATGAACATCCGGATCAGAACTCATTTACTTTTGCTCCCAATGGGCAAGTATTTGTTTCTGAAGCTCTCTATGGTCCCAAGTTGAGTCATCTTAACAACGTACTTGTGTTTGCTCCGTCACCCTCAAGCCAGTGTAATAAGCCCTGGGAAGGTCAGCTGGGAGAATGTGCACAGTGGCTCAAATGGACTGGTGAGGAGGTTGGTGATGCAGCTGGGGAAATCATCACTGCCTCTCAACATGGAGAAATGATATTTGTGAGCGGAGAAGCAGTTTCTGCTTATTCTTCAACTATGAGACTGAAAAGTGTATATCGTGCTTTGCTTCTCTTAAATTCTCAAACTCTTCTAGTTGTTGATCACATTGAGAGACAAGAAGATTCCCCAATAAATTCTGTCAGTGCCTTCTTTCATAATCTGGATATTGATTTTAAATATATCCCATATAGATTTATGAATAGGTATAATGGTGCCATGATGGACGTGTGGGATGCACACTACAAAATGTTTTGGTTTGATCATCATGGCAGTAGTCCCTTGGCTAGTATACAAGAAGCAGAACAAGCTGCTGAATTTAAGAAAAGGTGGACTCAATTTGTTAATGTTACATTTCAAATGGAATCCAAAATCACAAGAATTGCGTATGTCTTTTATGGGCCATATGTCAATGTTTCCAGCTGTAGTTTCATTGATAATTCCAATTCTGGACTTCAGATTTCTCTCAATGTCAATAATACTGAACATGTTGTTTCCATTGTAACTGATTACCATAACTTGAAGACAAGATTCAGTTACCTGGGATTTGGTGGCTTTGCCAATGTGGCTGATCAAGACCAAATAACCCGATTTGGTTTGGGCACTCAAGCAATAGTAAAGCCTGTAAGACATGATAGAGTTATTTTCCCCTTTGGATTTAAATTTAATATAGCAGTTGGATTAATTTTGTGCGTTAGCTTGGTGATTTTAACTTTCCAGTGGCGGTTTTACCTTTCTTTTAGAAAGTTAATGCGATGGATACTAACACTTGTAATTGCCTTGTGGTTTATTGAGCTTCTGGATGTGTGGAGCACTTGCACTCAGCCCATCTGTGCAAAATGGACAAGAACAGAGGCAAGCAAGAAGCCTTCGTCTTCGGAAGGGCACCACATCGATCTTCCTGATGTTGTCATTACCTCACTTCCTGGTTCAGGAGCTGAAATTCTCAAACAACTTTTTTTCAACAGTAGTGATTTTCTTTACATCAGGGTTCCTACGGCCTACATTGATATCCCTGAAACTGAATTTGAAATTGACTCATTTGTAGATGCCTGTGAATGGAAGGTATCAGATATCCGTAGTGGGCATTTTCGTTTACTCCGAGGCTGGCTGCAGTCTTTAGTTCAGGACACAAAGCTACATTTGCAAAATATCCATCTACATGAACCCAGTAGGGGTAAACTGGCCCAATATTTTACAATGAATAAGGACAAAAAACGCAAACTGAAAAGAAGAGAGTCTTTGCCAGAACAAAGAAATAGGATGAAAGGCGCCTTTGATAGAGATGCTGAATATATTAGGGCTTTGAGAAGACACCTGGTCTATTACCCAAGCGCACGTCCTGTGCTTAGTTTAAGCAGTGGAAGCTGGACGTTAAAGCTTCATTTTTTTCAGGAAGTTTTGGGAGCTTCGATGAGGGCATTATATGTAGTAAGAGACCCTCGGGCATGGATTTATTCAATGCTATACAGTAGTAAACCAAGTCTTTACTCTTTGAAGAATGTGCCAGAGCATTTAGCAAAATTGTTTAAAATAGAGGGAGGCAAAGGCAAATGTAACTCAAATTCAGGCTATGCTTTTGAGTATGAACCATTGAGGAAAGAATTATCAAAATCCAAACCAAATGCTGTCACTTTGTTGTCACATTTGTGGCTAGCAAACACAGCAGCAGCTTTGAGAATAAATACAGATTTGCTGCCCACCAGCTACCAGCTAGTCAAGTTTGAAGATATTGTACATTTTCCTCAGAAAACCACTGAAAGGATTTTTACCTTTCTTGGAATTCCTTTGTCTCCTGCTGGTTTAAACCAAATATTGTTTGCCACCTCCACGAATCTATTTTACCTTCCCTATGAAGGAGAAATATCACCAATTAATACCAACATTTGGAAACAAAACCTGCCTAGAGATGAAATTAAACTAATTGAAAACATCTGCTGGACACTGATGGATCATCTAGGATATCCAAAGTTTATGGACTAAATGCTGCAGGTCAGCAGAAATTTGCACTAATAGTTCCCAACCCACTTTGTGGATATGAGTTAGAATTTGTTTATTCTTGCATTGTGTGTGTGTGTATGTGCACGTGCGTGTGTGTTCAGTCTGTTACTTGCTCAGAGAGATTATTTTTAAAATTTGCACCATAACTGGCCCAGCAGGATTTATTTTTATGTTATTGTTTCCCTTGTTTTGTTTTTGAAATTTTTTTCTGCTAAAATGTTTCTGCTGCAGAAATGTAGATGAAGTCATATCATGGAGGTCAGGGAAGATGGGAAGATTTTAAAGGTTTTTATCTAATTCTTCATCTGTAACTGTGCTAATCTATCTTGGGACCTCAAACACTGCTAAAGGCCTTGCAATTGCTGCTTTATCCATACATCTCTTGCTTTCAAGATGGACAACAGAAGTTCCTTTCCTTTTTGTAAAGATCTCCTAACACACTTATTTTGCACAAAGAAAAGGAAAAAAATCCTTTTACTGTGTATAATGTTCAGTAGATCACTGGGGAAATGGGGAATGCTCCTATCAGAGCTGTGAGATTCCTTCTGGAAAATAGAGATGGAAGGACAAAATGAATATATATATTTTTTGAGGTCAACATCAGTGACCTGAAAAGCCTCTTCAAAATTTTTTTAAACTTATAAATAATAAGAAATAAGTATTTGAACAATCTGGGTTCCAAGGGCTGGTAAATTATTTTTTATTTTTGTCTCCTTTCACTTTTTTGCCTCCCTGAAATTATAGCTTGTTCACCATCACACCACTCCCACACTCCTTTCTGTTACTGTCAAGCAAAACAACCATAGTTACTAATTACTAAACTCCCAATATTTGTGGGGATTTTTCTCCCTAGATGATTAATTTTGCATAAAAGACTGACAGACTTAGAATCAAATGTATTTTTGTGGAATTAACACTGTGTGACTCAAAGCAGTTCCACTGCTGCCAATATCTTTTTAGACTGGAAACAGAATTGGAAAACTGCCTGACTTATCTTGCATTCCTTTGAATGAGTTTACAGACTGCCAGTGTCTGCAAAAGTTGAAAGCAAATGGGAGATGATGTCAGAGGCATCTGTTTCCTTTACCATCTGCATCTTATTATAAATGTAGTCGTTATAAAATGTTCTTTATTTTGGTAGGCTCTGAAATCAAAATACTATGCCATTATAAGCCAGTGGAGTAATTACAATGTATTGGATGAAAACTATTAGGCAGTGTCGAGACTTGATCAAAATCTCTGAACAGATTGCAGGCTTCTTCCTGATCTTTCAAACTGTAGTTCCCCTAAGTTCTCTAACACTTGGGAGTCTGTCATTTTGACCTAGATAAAAGTGATTCTTTCTCAGTAGTTTGGTATTATGTCAAAATGTGCCTCTAGAGTGATAAAGCTGTGGATATGTTACATTCCAGCTAAACCCAACTTGTCTGTCATCTTTCTTCCATTATAGTGTGAGTGAAGACTGCTCCCCTCACCCACATCTTCCTTCCAATAACCCTCTATAATATCAAAATGAATGAAAATCATATGAATATAGAATGAGAGGGCCCTGAAGACCTGAATCTACACTGTCATTCCCAAGGAAGGTTATTCTTTCTATCTCAGGGTTATCAGAAAGCATGTAAAATGCTACCTGGATGATATGTACACATACATTGCATGCTATATGGGTAATAGCACTATTTCCATTATTGGTATAAGTCTCAAGTGTTTACTTTCAATCCCTAGGTTGTCTGATCTTGAATTAGATCAAATAAAAAGTTTCTGGGTTATCAGTAGTATTAGGTCTGATCAAGGTAAGAATTATAAATATAAATATGTGCATGTAACAAAGAAGAAAGCAGAAAGTTTTGCCTTTCTTTTTGACATTGTCCAGAAAGGCACCCACAGGGAGAAGAGAAACAGGTGGAGTATGTGGAAGAATAGAGGAAGAAGAGATAAGGAAAATGAAAAAGAAAATACACTTGAGAATGGATACGGGGACGTATTGATAGCAAAAGAAAGGTACAGGCTTCTCAAAACAATCTTAACAGTGCCTCCCATCTTTTACCCCCACATAGCAATGTAGAGTTGAATTGATCTGCCTCTGTTTCTCACTGCCACCACAAGGGGAATACAAGCCCTACCACTTTGTTAATTCTAAAATAGAAAGTTTGCTGGAGAAGACTTCTGTTCGCAGAGTTCCTTAAGAGGCATGTTATGTATGGGTGAGGGGATGACACAACCATTGGACCTGCATGCATATGATTATACCTGAGATCCCCTGCTTTTTAATCTGAATACCTAAGGAAATTAACTCTCCTAGCACATGCCCGGGTCCTGCACTCTCAGGGTGATCTAGAAAAGAGTTCTAGCTTCTACCCTTATTTTTGTTTTGCTACGTTGTTTGGCTTGATTAATCATAAATAGAAAAGTTTTCATTGTTTAATTTAGGAAAAACGTAAATAGAAGGCAGTATGTTATACACCACTCTCAGAGGTAAGAGTTCCTAACATAAGATAGTAAGATATTTAATATATGGACTACTTACTACTTATTTAAGTGTTTGCCAAATTGTTTAGTATATCTGATTAATAATTATTTCATTTAATTTTGGAAGAAAAGATATCCAGATAATTTTTAAGACACAGATTACTTTGAATTTTTTGCACAAAGGATGACGAACACTTTAAACATAGATTTTTCCATTCTCTAAAATTTTGATATGCTTGAGCTATAGTTTATATGGGCTTAGGTTATATTTAGTCCATGTAACATCAACATATTTAATTGATTATTTCCAAGGATAGGTTTAGCTGAGTTGTTCAAACCATGAGGTGTTTGTTTTGTTTTGTTTTTCTTTCACATCTTATCCAGTTATGCAGCAAAGAAAACAAACTGAAGACCGTAAACTAGTTTACCAGACCTTATATGTATAATAACACTCCTCTGTTAATACAAAAATAAAAAAGCTAAAGCAACTTGGCTATGATTGGGATGATTTTGTCATACCCCTCTTCTTTAGTTCTTTGGTTAATGGTGTTAAGATTTTGTGTGGAGCTGAGGAAGCAGAAGTTGGAAAATGCAGAACAAGTTGAGTGCTGGTACTCAATCCCGCAGTTTCAGCCACTAGACTTAATTCGAATTCCCACCCCCAACCCCACCGGTGATGATCACTCCTTGCTTCTGCTCCTCTAACTTAATTCCAAGTCCTGACTGTGCAGCATTCTAAATGTCAAGGATGTGCCTGTACTGAGTATCTGTGTTCTGCATCTACTCCTGCCACTGGTAAGATCTTCATTCAAACATTATCACTAAAAAGGAAGACACTTGCAGGTTACTTTAGGTTTACAAAATAGGTGATGCGCAGGGTTGGCAACGTGAAAACCTTTTTTTTTTTTTTTTTTTTTAGTAAAAAGGATCAATCATGAATTACTGTGTATGCACTTAATATTGAATCATAAGGTTTTCATTACAATCCTCACAACTCTATAGTAGCTATTTTACATATAAATGTGAGACTCAAGTCAATTGATGTGTCCAAAGCAAATAAGCTGATAGATGGTTTGCTCAAAATTTAGACAGTTTTAAAAATTGTTCAGTTTTTTGTAGGAATTTTGAATGGATTTATCATTCACTTATTTACTCATTCACCATACTTTTTGTGTAACTACTATTAAGGTATTGATGAGCGTGAGAGAAGAGTAAAAAAATTGACTATGAACTTACTCTGAGAAATTAGCAATCTCTCTAGAGACTTCAGAGCTATTAGGAATTCACCAAGAAGAGAAGAGGAGGGGCATGGCATGTGACACAGTGATTACCCAAGGAAAGCATCAAGAAGTTGGTACCTATTCTGCAATAGTCATGGTATATTTATTTCTGAAACAGGAAGTGGTTATGAGGAAAGGGAATGGCTTATCAAGTTCGAGTTATGATTGGAAATTTGGATAGAGATCACCACTTTTTTTTTCTTGATTAGGGTTTTAGTCTAGTTTTCATGGCAGGTCCATCAATGAGTATCCCTCCCAAAAGAGATTCTGGTTTATCCATATATGCAAAAACTGCTGACGCCTGCTGTCTTGAAATGTGCACTTATTCATCTGTGCCAACACATGTATAACAGAAATGTGATTTGAGGTGAATACCAAGAGATGCCTTGAAGAGAAAAGAGTGCCTGCGTGTGGTCTGACTGGCATGTAAATGGACCATTGCTAGTAATGGCAGTAAGAAGGGATTAGTGTATTTGATCCAGCAGGCTTTCCTTCACCCCCTTTTACCCCCATTCCTAAATATCTCCAGATACACAGCTACTGCCACACATAGCTCTCAATCCTGGAATGCGGTAGTGAACAAAGCATACATGGGTGATACCTCCATGGTGGGGACTGTAAAGAAACACATTCTTACTGTTTTTCACAAAGTTCCCAGCATAAAGGATGCTACACCAGGTAGAAGTGAATGCTGTGAATTCTGTGACTAACCATCAAATACGTCCAAGTGGAAATTGTTTTAGTAAAAAAAAGTAAAACAACAATCTTGTTCTTTTTCCTAGTTGTAAATGATGCCAGAAAGAAGGAATAAAAGGGGAGAAGGAGGAAAGAAGGAAATGAGAGAAAGAGGGAAAAGAAGGAGAAGGAGGGGGGCACTCTGAACCTAAACCTGACCGTAGGAAATAAGTTGCTGTTGGAAAAGCATTCCTTTAATTTTATTGTATGAACTATGGGGGGTGGGGGGACCTCTTTGAACTTTCAGGGTGGATAAAACATGATAACAGAAAGATAAGTCCTGAACAGATACTCTTTCATAGTACACTCAGTTGCTCTATTTTACTGTATTTCTTTAAACTATATGTTGCCCTGACTCTCAAGATGAATGTAACTTTTCTTTCAAGTGTATTAACAAGAATGTTGAATTTTACCTGTGTCTCAGGTTTGTAAATTTCCTTGATGTGCAGTGTTCTCTCCTATGCTGTGTCCCTCTCTATTTCTGACTGTGGGATCCTGATGGTTTAATGACGGAAAAATTTGTGGGTCTGCAACATCCTTCATGCTCCTCATACCTCTTTTTTCGAAGTCATTTTGACTCCCACCACTGTCACTTTTCTCATTTACTAAATGTGCAATATGAACTCTTTCATATCTGCATTAATATCGGGTGCCCCTCAACAAACAATAAGACTCTTCTTACCTTATTTATGGCATGGTGCAAATAATACTTTAAATCTTTGTAGTACCGGCAAGTCTTATTGATTGTTTGTTTTAATTAGACGTTTTCATTTTTTTTCCACTTTGTCCCAAAAGATTAATTTTACTGCGGGTTTTTTAAAGTTGCTTTAAACTTTAAACTATTTCAACTTTATTGAGTCATTTTAATTTAGTGCCTTAATGTAATATTTTGTAAAATGTTGAAGGAAATTCACTTATGTATTAAACACATATAATAAAAAAGTGATGAGATTGCTTTCATAAGATATTAATAGATACATATAAAAATACAGTTAATAAAAGTTAACCCTACACAAACAGAATCAACTATTTTTACTGTTATTTTTAAACATTAACTTGAGTCCCAGCTAATTTAATACTAACTAGAGCATAATATACTTACAGTTGCCGTATGTGCACAAACTAACTTGGTTATTTCTCCTTAGATTTATCAAAGTAAACTGAAATGTACATACATGCAGGTTGTTACTTTGTCTTTTTCCCTACAATAACTATAAAAATATCTAATACAGCCTGAATAAAAAGATACCTACTTGTATATGCACA